GCTAATTAGTAAAAATTTATATAATAAAATTCTCTTTTTATAATGAATTTTGAGTAAATTCAAAATTCAAAAATTCGGCATAACCAGCATTTTATTATAGCTTTGTTATAAACAGGTTTCTTATATCCAGGTTTGACTGTATACAGTAAAAATTTGATTAAATTATTTACTATATTTCTTTTTTATTTATTTATTTATTATTATTATTTTCTTTTATTGAAAATATTAATTATAGGAAAGAATAATGTCATAATTTAAACTAGTTATACATCGGAGATTACAAGAACACGTGGTTCACTTATGAATTTAAAAAAATCCTTTGAATTTCTATAGATACACATACAGTATATAAAGGCATGATTTTCAAATTAAGGTCAAATCGAATATGTAGTAAGCTCTACTTTAAATAAATAAATTTTTTACTAGGCATCAATGATCCCATAATCGAGTACTTCATTTGTATTTTTAGAATAGTATACATATTAGTCGATTGTATTTATTGATAATCAAATAAATATGTCGGTGGTTTTCTTACAAAATTTTAACAACTTTAAATTATTTGCGCCTTATCAATATGATCGTTTTTGTATCCTCGTCAGTTTGATTAAGAAAAATAATATAAGGGTGTTGAGAACAACGTGAGTTTATTTACAAGTATAATTATTTAATTGAATAATTCAACATTATGTTTATTTTATCCTTTATCTAACTTTGCTATCCATGTGGGATGGTTAGTTCTTATCAAAATTCAAGATTTACAAGAGATGAACAAAGAAAGATACCCGAGCTTAAAATTCCGACCAATTTTTCGGTATCTGACATTGACGATCACGTTAAATTTAAATTTAATTCAATATTTAATATTATTATTCTCTATTCAAGAGCTTAGGGATTCGCGAACCCATATGTCAGGCATTAGAAAATAAATTCAACATCAGAAAACCAACTGAATGTCAAGCATCCCTAATACCAAACATTTTACGAGGAAAAGATGTTCTAATCAGAGACATTACGGGATCTGGTAAAACATTTGGTATTGCTTTGGCATTGCTCAATAAGACCAGAAATCAACAAACCTATGATGGACGCTCGAGTCGGATAGGAAAACCATGTATCACAAGTTTGTTAGTTGTACCCAGTCGTGAGTTAGCTCATCAAATTGAAAATTGGATACGAGTGCTATTAAGTAATACTGGACTACCTTTAAAACCCGTCATTCAAGCGGTAGTGAGAGCAGATCCACAGGAAGAGCATCAACAATTGGATAATTTAGAAAATATACCTCCGCACATATTAGTAGGTACGGCGACAAGACTTCATGATCTGGCTAATGATGGGTACCTGAACTTTAGAAGTTTGAAAACCTTCGTGTTAGATGAAGCAGATCATCTGCTAAGACTTCCACCGAAACATGCTACATTGAAAAAAATTCAAAGTCGGCAGATACATCCTAAACCTGCAGAACTACTGACTCAACATGTGTTCAGTCAGGTGAGACCTCAAATCGTTGTATCATCGGCAACCCTTAATCGAGCATTGAGATATTATTTCAAAGATAACAAATACTCTGAAGATCCTGTATTTATTGACGTATCCAAAGGGACCTTGTCACCGTCTACAATAGAACATCATTGTCTCTTGATTTCGACCAAGGAAATTAAAAACATAACGTCGGCCGAATTTCATTGGTATAATCCATTTACTGACAGTCATTTACCAGAGTTAAAGGAGGATATAAGGGATGACGATGATCTGATGTTGGACAGCCTAGTTGGGACATTTGAATTCGAAAACGTAAAATGTGGAATCATTTTCGTAAATAATCAAATTAAATTGCCGAACCTAATTAAGCGCCTGCTTAAATATGGTGTGGAAGCTAAAGAATTAGAAAATAGTCATTTGAATCAGGAAGAAACCAAGTGCAAACTGTTCGTTGCACACGAATTTACGGTTGGTAAACAATGCAATATTAATAATTAAATCTCTATTTGCTATTTATTTTACTGATTATTATTTTTAAT